ATTATTATTACTATTATTATTATTACTATTATTATTACTATTACTATTTTCATTATTACTATTATTATTAATGTAGGTGTTGTAATTTTTGCAATTATTGTCACTTAACTGCCACCGGGTCATACCCAATTGCAGTTCTAATAAATGTATGTATGTTTTACGTTAAGTAACATGACGAGCAATCGCGAGTCCGAGGCGCAGAAAGGGAACGATAGTAGGAGCAGCGCGAGGACATCCTACGGCATGCGGACGAAAGACATCTTCAAGATCTAGAAAATATTCCCGTAAGCTTACGAATGTATACAAAAATACCGAACGAATTAGTGAATGCACAAAGTAAAGATAACCCAAGTCATTAATGAACTCATAGAAAAAAATGTAAATTTGTAGAATAAGTGTTAACTTTTTATTATCAAAGTAAATAGGCTGATAATTTGTAGAAGTTACCATCAGATTTTCAAGAACAGGATCAAGCGGAACTTTTAGGAATTGGGCTACTGTATACTGTCACATGTTCCACATATAATAGAAAAATAAAAAGGTAAACTATTATATGTCGAACCCAGGTTTGTAAAGTAAATGGAATTTTTTCATGAACTTCGAAATTGAATTTAACCGAGCAACATAAATAATTAACATTAGTATAAAAAGGTAACTATCTCAATATAAAGAATGGTTATCAATTCAAAATACGTTTCAACCATCTGAACGGTCAGAACTTCAATGACGCTCAATATATAGCACCAACATAGCCAGTCGGCAACACCGTGCGCGTAGTGTGCTTCATTGAAATCGAGCGACAAGTTCTTACTTCTTTTGGGGTACTGGGAGCAATGGAAAGACTAACTGCTAGACCTTACCTTTGATATTAACTAAATTTTCTGCAAAGCTGAAATTTGATGGAGAATATACAAAGATAGATTTTGCTGGATAGAAATTAGAATGTAGAAAAGTTTCGAATTTTTCAACTTTCGAAAAATCAGTGTTTTCAACAAAAATGAGACCTCCACCATTCGCATAAATGTCCTTCATACTATTGAAACATAAAATTTAATCAAAAACGTTGTAGCTATTTTTTGTTTGTTTTGAAAGTGTTCCAGGGGCTTCATGTAATGAAAAAGGGGTAGCTAAAATTTCAAATGATTAAACATTCATTCATTTTTATTATTTATTTAAAAAATTGAAGTATATAACTAAAGTATATAAAGTACAACCCAACTATTACTAAATGCGAGAAAGTATGTGCTGTTCTAACACCACTAGTTTTTCTGTATTTAACAACTGGATTTATCCACTTTTTCATTACCAGGGCCCGGCAATAAGAGTTTTTGTGTCGCCAATTCGCCGTTTTCAGGCGCACGCTGAAAATACTTTCTCTTCTTACTTTAGTAAAAATAAGTGCAGCAATAACAAAATGAGTGTTCATGTAAGAAAAATCAAATACATAAATACGGGATATGCTGATTTTAATTACAGAACTAAGTTTCATTATCTTAATTGTAGTCAAAAGCTGACAGGCAATATGAAACAATTGAAAACGTCAACTCTTTCAAATATTTAGGAATAATAATCGATAATAAAATGACTCGAAAAATCACATAATGAGTTTACAAAAATATTTAAGGGGTAATATAAGAAAATTCTATAATCTTCAAAATGTTTGCGATATTCATAGACTTAAAGTTCCATAATACATTCAACAATAAATTCTATAATACATTATATATTAAATTCAAAACTCCAATATGGGGTACGAATTTGGGGAGGTACTTTCAAGACGTACATTCAGAAACTAAGAATAACTCAAATCCAATTTATCCGTATTATCTATAATAAAATAAGTCTGATTCTTCACTTCATCTTTATAAACAATTAAACATTTTAGAATTACAACATATCGTTGTATATGAAGTACTACAAATATTCAATGCCAAAAGGAGAATTTTGAAACATGATGATAATGATGTAAACAATTTAACTGAAGTATTGCATAAAATAGTTTGCTGTGTAAATTTAAGTATGAATTTATTTATGAAGTTATATATTTGTTCATGGAAACATATATATTGCATCTCTGTAAGTTTTCGCTTATTTCATTAAGGCTTGTTTTTCGTGTATTAAGGCTAGTTTTTTGTATGTTCACAGAAACTTGTACTATCAATTAAAAAAATAATATTTTTAAAAAAAGTCGTGTCATGCACAAAAAATACTAAGCAGAAGTAGACAGATAATTAATTCTAACCCAGTATTGCTGACCATCACAACTGGTAATCGATTATTAGTAATTCCAAGATACTACAATTGTCTCTGTAAAACAAGACAGGAATAAAATATTTATTATTATTATTATTATTATTATTATTATTATTATCATTATCATTATCATTACCATTATCATTATCATTACCATTATCATTATTTTCATCATATTATCGTCATTTAATATCACCTGATCCCTAAAATCGCGAGATTAGCAGTTTTTGAAAGATAGTCCTTTTCGTTTCTAAGTCATAGAAAAGTTAGTTGCATCGGTACACAAATTGCAAGTATGATTTTTCTGCATTGATAACAAAATAACAACTCGCCCTTACCTCTACTCTTACCATTACAAGCAAACGAAGTGTTCAACAAAACGCATGCGCATAGTGAAGTTATATTTACGTTCAGAAGCAAAACAAGGGAACCGTCTCAGCATTTGCTCAATGGATCCGGGAAACTGGACAAAAACCTGATCGAGATGGGGGACCGGAAGACCAATGACCCGGAAGCTGAAGTACATTATTTGTTACAAACATATTAGGTATTTTTTTAAACCTTTATACAATACAAATGAAAACTAATTCATTATATATAATCACCGTTTTGTTAAAATAAACATTATTTTTCTTTTCGATAATCAGTATAGTCTCTAATTGTATAGAAACAGTTATGCAGCCGAAAAATTTTACTTTTAACTTAAATTTGTGAACCGGCTTCAATTGTTTATTGTCATCTGGCAGAGCGTTGTAAAGTAACGTACATGTATTACAGGCGGATTTCTGATAGTGAGCTGTTGATATTGGCACTTGAACGTGATCGAGATGGGCGAGCTCCTCCGCGGAACCAAATTTTGCTCGTTCAGCGCAGCACCAGTTTACGTCACGAACCACGTGACCACAACACGGGCACTTCGTTTGAAAAGCCAGACTAGACGCTGGCCGCCGTGTTGCATGGAAAGCAAGAAGTGTTGAGAAACATTTAGAAAGTGAAATTAAGTGACAAAATTTCAACGATGGACAACCCAACACAACACGGTGAAGGTTCTCTTCAACAGATTCCTCTAAGAGGCTGATTTTTTGGGAATCTATGGTATTTTTCATTCTTTTTCATATGAGCATCGTGACTATCGATTTTTTATTGGGGGCTTTTTGGGCTAAATCCTTTATTATCCCAAAACAAATTTCTTTACCGCTCATCGGGTGGCGGGCTATACCAATATAAAACTGCAGCAGAATCAAACCGAATTAGTACCAGAATTTTTAACTATTTTATTACTAATTTATTGCCGCAAAACCAATTTCTTTACCGCTCATCTTCACACAAAACCGGGTGGCGGGCTAGCTTGATACACAGCTGTGAAATATTCATTTATTGCCAAAGTATACGAGGGTTGGGGCAGAAGTCATGGCAACTATGTTTTTTTTTTCAAAAGAAATGTCGGATATGCGAGACTGAGGACCAATACGGCACTTGCATTAATGGAGCATCTGCCTAATCAGACCTTCAGAACCGATATGTAATGTTTTTAGAATGTTGTGAATTCTTGTATGCTAAAACACTTTGGAACATGAAACCAGTACTGTCATTTCAAATACCTTAATAAATATGAGAAACAATTTTGAACATCCATGAGATATGACAACATTGAATATACATGCAATTACTTCACATCACGACCTTTCACGTACGTACGAAATATAACACATTTTCCACCAGCGCTCGTATACTCACAAAAAAAATCGCAGCCATGACTTATCATATCACCCGCGTCTTACTGAATCCATACGTAGCTGCTACATCCACTATGTGCTCAAATATATTCGGACACGTTCAAAATGGTGTTATGGTGTGGTCGTGTTTTTCACTGAGCGGGCTTGCAGCCTTTGTTGTTTTGTGTGGCACTATCACGGCACTGCCCTACGTTGATGTTTTAAACACCTTCTTGCTTCACACTGTTGAAGGGCAATTCGGAGATGGCGATTGCATCTTTCAACACGATCGAGCACCTCTTCACATTGCACGGTCTGTGGCGGAGTGGTTACACGACAATAACATCCCTGTAATGAACTGGCCTGCACAGAGTCCTGAGGTGAATATTATCGAGCACCTTTGGGCTGTTTTGAACGCCGACTTCGTGCCAGGCCTCACCGACCTACATCGATACCTCTCCTAAGTGCAGCACTCCATGAAGAATGGGCTGCCATTTCCGAAGAAACCTCCCAGCATCTGATTGAAAGTATGCCTGTAAGATTCGAAGCTGTCATGAAGGCTAAGGGTGGTCCGACACCCTATTGAATTCCAACAATATCGATGGAGGGCGCCTCGAACTGGTAAGTCATTTTCAGCCGCTTGTCCGGATACTTTTGATGCCATAGTGTAGCTTCACTGCTTTTATCAACCGCCATCATTTTGTTGGCTTTAAATAAATCAATAAAAAATTGTCATAAACTAAAATTCCATGTAGATACACTCCTCTGTTGATGGCCTAACCCCTCCCCCCACATTTCCTGCGCCAGGGACCGCAAGAGTGGGGACGCTGTCGCCATACATTGCAACACTCATCCCCCCCACTTCTTCCGCGTTTCTACACACATCCTGCATATTTCCTAAAAGTGTATCTCGCAGAAAACACCGAGACGGAGCGTGTGGAACGAAGCCGGTCGAAGGTCGGGGCAGTTGACCTCTGGCCGCCGTATTTCATCGAACGGGGGGACGAGCGTGGCGACGCGAGGAGACCACGAGGGGTCGGGGGGGGGGGCGCGTCCAAGTGAATTTTCCGAATGAGACTGCACAAGCGACTGAAGGATCCCAGAAACAATCTCACAAGCAAGCTGCCGAATAGTGACGGTCTCGCGGCGTATGATTTGCCGCGAGCGTGCCCGGTGGTATTCAGAAGACGTACAAGTCCGGTCGTCCCCAATCGTGATTTGGACAGCACAGGTAAGATGTAGGAGAGAAGTGGCGTGCGTAATCGATTCGCGCATTTCGTAAAATCCGCGTCTCTTGCAGCAGCTGCTGCGTTACCTGAGCGTGTCTGGTCGTTGTCTCTAGCATTGTTGGCTGGGTTGGGCCAGGTAAACGGATTGGGAAAGAATTTAAAGCGACTGGCGAAGGCAAGATATCGGGATTTAGAGGAATTAAGACGTACCGACGTTTAATCGAACGATGGATTCGAGATATCGAGGATTTTTCATTTATTTCATTGATAACCAATTACTTAATATTGAATAAATGCTATCACATTCAAAGTAAATTAATGATTGCCAAAACACTTTTTAAAATATGTTCACGCCCGGGGATTTACTCTGATAGTGGACGTGTTTATTCAATTTAATTGAAATTTAATTGATAAAACACAGCCAGGATCAGAACAGTTAACAAATCATTTATTATCTGATTGGATTACTAAAAATGATATTATCTGATATGAATTACTAAAAAAATACTATTATCTGATTTGAATTACTAAAAATAATATAAACGTAATTAATGAAAACCCTATTTTATTTATTTTTCACCATTGGTCACTTTGGTCTGAATAATGTTCAATTGATAGATATTTGGAAATTATTGTAGGTTTTCATTGTGATAGTATTTTTGTCATTAAAAATAAAATATCAAGCTTATGGAAACATCGAACAAACATCGTTGTTAAAAAATCAGCTTCAAAATACCTATGTTAAATACAGCAACAATTTCATAAAAACATCGATGTTAGGAAATTATCCACATCGATGTCACATCCCCTGGTACTGCTCGATTTCTTAGGAACATGAAGCACAACAGTATACGAAAGCGAAGCGTTAATGGGAGGTGGCATTTGGAATCACAGCTTACTCTTTGTCACCACAATTTGAAAGTTGGCAGAATTGTGTGTGCAAAATAATAGTTTATGAAGCGATAATTTAATACTCCTTACATCAAGTTTCATATGGTTCGTTAGCTACGACTTACAGTAACTTTCATAATTTTAACTTTTACATTGAATCGTTTCGTGATGGTCGACATGCAGGATTCAGCCAAGACCAACTCACAGACAGTTCCTTACCCCCTTGCAATGATGGTTTTGGTGTACCACGCCGCTCATAGTCAAATAGGATCAATGCCCAACTTATTTTAAATAATATTTCACGTAAAAAATACTATAAATAAAATAAATTAACACTGACAAGCATAATATAATAATATATACAATTTTATATATACAATTGAACGATGCATTTACTAGAACGGTTTTCAATAATTAATTGTCAATACATGGCTTGCAATCTTCTCTGTCATTGGTCAAGAACTTGTATCATAATGAAATCTGTATTGTATTGAGTATCATTATGCAAAGGGGTGCAACCATGAAATGACAGGATAATACAATGGAAGTAGAAAAAATATTTTTCTCGACTTCAGACACTTTGGTCAAGAGATTGTTGGTCGAGTGGTCGATTGCTGTTTTCTACGCCGGCATGCTTGAAGTTCCCAATATTAGAATAGATTCAACTGCGTTTAGATGAGAAATTCTAAAAGAAACTACGAACATCGATACTTTGATACATCGCCAAAATTTTCGATGTCGATGAAAACATCGACAAAAACATCGATGTTAAATATCGATGTATTAAATTTGATTAAACATTTCGAAGTAAAATGTCATAGTTCAAATATTATATACAAGAATAATACGTACGTATTATTTTGAAGTAAGCATTTTGTCTTAAAGTTTCCTGGCATCTTCATTTTCTAATCAATGTTCTATCTAGTCAAGGTACAAATTGCAGTTTATCGATATTGTCACATATAATATACAAACATAATATATACGCATAAAATAATCAAACAAGGTAACAACACTGGAAAAATTTGGCAAATATCACACGGTTTCCAATCACTTGGGTATCGACAACAGTGACAGTTGTTAATGGCTATTGTTTGCGAGTAATCCACAAATAAAATAGACACTGGAAATTGTATTCTTAACAAGAGGAATATTTTTTTTAAAACACCTATGTTAACAGACAAATATATCGCTCTGAAGAAAACATCTTGAGCAAAACATCGATGTTATAATATCAATGTTTCTGCTCGAAAATATCCAGGTTTTGAAAGCATCGATATTTTTATTTTCTCGCTAAGAAGTAGAGTTACATCCTCGCTACAGAGCAAAGAAAAAATGATGTAATGCTGCGCAAAAACAGCGAATTTTTGACAGAAAAACTCTTATTACAGGTCTCTGATAACGGAAATGTGTTATTCGCTTGCTAAATTTAGGAGGGAAATTGTCTATCACGTGATGTAGCCAGAATCCATGTTTTGCGGGTACTTTATACCGAAAAATCGAATGACGGCAAAACGGCGGTCGGTCTGTCTGTCAGTCTGTCTGTGAACAACGCTAGTGGCTTCACCATTCAGCTGATTTTTCTCCAAAATTGAGATTCCCAAATCGATCTAGCTGATATCGCGGACTCTTGAATGTGAAACCGATATTTTAATCTTGTGGAACACCTTTCAAGAAGCCCCTGGGACATTTCCAAAATTTAAAATAATAGTTCCATGGTTGTTGATTAAATTTCGTTGAGGATTGTGTGAATCGCATTTAAAAGAATGCTAAAAGTCTCAAGTTCGTTAAAACCCTAATTTTACGAAAATTGCAAAAGTTCCAAATTTGTTCGCAGTCTTCCTACAACTAAAATACTAAAATTAGAGATTTTTTCGTCTATGAAATCTGTTCCTTAAAAATATATTTTGAAACAAGGTCAGGTATAATTTTTCGAAAATTTGAGTATTTTTCGCATAGTTTTGCGTGAAGATAAGGCCGAGAAAGTACGTGCTGTTTTAGCACAAATAGTTGTTTCTTGTATTTAAGGTCACATTAACATGTAAATCAGTAGTGATCATTATAGATTAACAATACGGTTATCAGTATAATGAGATATGGTGATGGTGAGGGTGAAAGGACAAACACATGCCCGAGGCGTGGCTCGAACCCCTCAATCCTTGAGTCTAAGATCGATAGGGCAATACTGCCTTAACGATCTGGACGACACCACTAGTTTTGCATTCTAACTGCGTGCCTCTCTTTAGTTAGCAGGACGGTCAGGTGGGTGAGCCATGCGGATCCCGCACTGCCGAGAGCCCGCCGCCCCCCTCGCCGTCGTCGTCTTCGTGGCCTTTGTGGCAGCTGTCACGGGCGCTGTGCCGATACCCTTAAGGGACGATGTGCATGCAGGACCCGCAGGTAAATCCACTCAGTGTATCATCCATTTATCCCTAGGCACAGTGACGACACGCACGAATTCAAATTAAACACCGCTTAGGTGGCTCGGGCTATCAATTGATGGCACTCCAGTTCCTCTGACCAGGAAGATACTAACGACCGGCTGCTCTAATCTGTAGTTTTTCGTGGCTTTTGTGACCAACGTCAGGCAAATGCAAGAGCAGTACTCTAATTGACAAGCCAAGGACCGTGGGAGATATTTCATCCTCATCCCTGGCTCATTTTCCCCCTTACTTATACGTATAACTATTTCGATGGTATCCTTGATTCCCATCTATTTTGAGATGAAATTACTCCTGAAGAAAATGAAAAGCAAATGTCGAAATGTAGAGAAGGAAATACTTTCAAAATTAAAGCTGTTTTTATATAAATATGGTTTAAACTAAATTAAATAAAATATGTTTTCTGTTCAATGCGTGTTTTTAGTTATTTAAATAATAATAGTCTCTCTAAAAATGTCAGGAAAGAAAGCTTACGAATCACCAACGACGGCACTCAGGAAATGACCTGATTAAACAATTGACAGGATGTAGGAAATAAACTGTTCAAATATTTGACGGGACGTGGGAAATTAACTGTTCAAACAATTGACAGGATGTAGGAAATTAACTGTTCAAACATTTGACGGGACGTGGGAAATTAACTGTTCAAACATTTGACGGGACGTGGGAAATTAACTGTTCAATCATTTGATGGGACTTGGGAAATTAACTGTTCAAACAATTGACGACACCTAGCAAATTAACTGTTCAAACAATTGACGACACCTAGGAAATTAACTGTTCAAACAATTGGCATTTCTTGCGAAAAACTGCAGCCACGGATCTCACGGACAAATCGGGCAACGGAGCACCGCAGTCGGCGCGAGCCATGAAGACGCGTAGGCTGAAGGAGA